ATGGACAAGACAAACAAGTTTCCAATGAGTTGTCTCTTGGGGGACTTAATTCTAGTGGAAGGAAACTAACAATAAACCAGAAAACCAATTCATTAAATAAATTTCACTGATGAAGAATGATATAAAAGAGACAAAACAGGGTGACCTATTTGTTGGGTGTCAACATCTGTGGAAACAGTTAAACCCTGAATTCTCAGGGGTTTGACACAGTAAAAGCTTAGTTCCTATTCATCAAATATCTAGCCGGAAGGTCCCAATTGGCGGCTTTTCCCCTTATGTTGGTCAGAAACTCAGTTGTGTTCCAGGACTCCTTTGCCTACAGCCTGAATATAGGCAAAAATAAAGAGCTTAGAGGATTGTGTGAGATATTTTAAGGGCTGAGCCTACATGCGACTTATTTCATAGCTGCCCCTATTTCACTGGGCAGAGCACAGCCGCCTAAGTACTCCTGACCTCAAGTTAGGATGAGTGTCCAAGAGGGAAAGGAAAGGGTTTGAGTTAAAAGCAGAATGAGAAGGACAAGGACGTGTATATATCATCAGAGGAAAACATGCAAAGTAGATAAAACAGAAGAATAAAGGCAGGAAAGTCCTGTTAGAAGAAGAAGGAGACCCATATGACAGTGTTATGTTTTTATGTTTATATTTACTTATTTATCCTGACAGGAAAAGCAGGAGGTTGCTGGATCAGAGGCCAGACCTTTTATTTACTCACCAAGCAGTTTGTGTTAATTTGTCATCCCCCAGTCCCTCACGGGGAGAAGCAGTAAGAGCCGGTAAGAGCTTCCTACCCTGTGGGACAGGAGAGTTAGGCGCCATAACACAAAACCCCCGAACTACGGAAGTCAGAGCCTGGCTGCTGTTTCTCTGACAGAGGGGGAGGAGGGACAGAAGGAGAAAGAGAGGTCATTTGTTTTGAAATATAAATAAACCCTCTCTGGAAGGAGGAGGAGAAGGCTTCTAGGCTTGTAACTCTTGGAATGTAAACAAAAAAACAAATGCTTTACAGAGAGATGTCCCTAAATCTCTCCAAAGTTCTCTTTAGGGTTGCTATTTAATCATCCTTCAACCCAGGCATAGCCCCCTTTGCTCAGAAAGCCCTGACCATGTAGAAATATGAAAATATTCGAGGAACACAGTACATGAGAAGTGAAAATGGAAAAGGCTGAGGTCAGATAGCCAGACAGGTGACAAGCAATATAGAGCCTTTGGACCTAGGTAAAGAGTTTAGAATGTATTCTGAGCACAGTGGTAATTGTTTGAATGGCTGTAAGCCGGAGCATGGCATGATCTGATTCAGGTTTTATTGATCTTTCTGGTGACCTGAGAGAAATGGATGGGGAGAGGAGTGAGAGGAGGAGCAAGTGGATCAATAAGGATGCTCCTGCTGTCATCATGCTCCAGATGACGGTGTCCTGCGCTAGAGCGGCCATGATGGAGAGTGACCGAGAAGGGCACAGGGGAGCTGTGATATACTGGATGAGGTGTGGGGTGGGGGTGGGGTAGGGGAAGAAGGAGCGGTATCCTAATCCTCAGATTTCAGATGGCCTAGGTTTCGGGTGTGAGCAACTGTGATGCCATTTACTCAGAGGGAACAATTTGGCAAGAATCAAGATGGGCGACTGGGGAGCAGTGAGTTAAAAAGTCTTCTTGAGCATTTTATGTCTGACATACTATATCAGGCAAGTCACCAGCAGGACAAAGATGACACATGAGGAAAACTCCAGTTGAATATTTATAGAAACATGAACGGGGTTAATGGACCAAACAGAGCACTTCAGGGCTGGCAACTAGGGGAAGCCGGCCCTGCCCATGGGTCTGCAGGGCAGGAGAGGGGGAGCACTGCTGAGAACACGTGAGCTGTAGCTATGAGAGAGGACCTGACCAGCAGGAGGTGCGGAATTAGGCAGGGGACAGAGCCACCGACAGAATCACAGTTGAATGAGTAGTAGTCTATTTGTCCTCTCTGTCATTCTGCGCTTCCGTATCCTGTTGCTGCTGTCCTCTGGCAGAGTCTGACCTGAGGACAGAGGCCTGAGAGCCCAAGGTGATGCGATTAGTAGACAGCAGGCCACAAAGCGGGGCAGTGCCACATGGGGAATGACCGAGGGGCAAAGCGAAGAAACAGCCCCAATGTGTCAAAGACGCCTTCCTTTAGAGCGGCAGAAAGATGGCTGAGGGTAGAGAAGTTGATTTGGAAGTCATCAGCATTTTCAGTGGGTTATGCCTCAAGTTGAGAGCTAGTATTTGTCAAGCTCTTACTTTGAGCACTCTACCAACATTTCGTGTACATAATCTCATTTAATTTTCAAAACAAAACCACGGGTTAAATATTACCTCATTGGACACAGGTAATGGTATTGAACTTTGGGGTTTGTGTTGAGAATTAAATGAGGCAACTAAAGCACAGTGAAGTGAAGGAATTTGTTTAACATGTAACATGGCTAGAGGGAAGTGATTCTAAGAATTAAGTCCCAGGCGTTTCTATCCCCAGGGCCAATGATAGAAACCATTGTAGCGTTATTGCACACAGATCCTCTGAGAGAACCCAGTACTGGCACAAGGCATGTTAGGTCACATGATTACTTTTATTAAGACTCGTCCCTCTTTTTTATTTTTTTCACTTTTTTGAAATGAAACAATTCTGACAAGATTTCATCAAAGAAGTTATTCCAAATTTTAACGTCCTGGTTTGGGTATTGCTTTTGATTAAAGCTGTTTGCAGACTAGCATATTAGTAACCCACATATTCCCTATGCTCCTAAAAGAGTAGATTCACTTTTATCTTGGGAACAAAGCTGGATAGAAAAAGCTTTTTTAACTTTTCTTAATTCATGAAACATTTATCTTCCAGTCAGGTTTTGTTACAGCAGCACAAATGTGGTCCGTCAGCATTTCCATTATTTCCCCATATTTCCAGGGCTTTTCAAGAGTGCCTTAGAGACTCTACTTTAAATTAAAACTTGGCATTCAGGATTTGAATCAGAAAACTCCATTTTCCTTACTAATTAATCAAATAGGTTAGAGGCTTGCAATTTAGAAGAGGACCAAATGTAAAACTTTTATTAATGCGAGAAATATTTTGAGGCAAATTTGCTCATTTAAATATTTTTTTTAAAAATATTAACACTCACTGTACAAGCATAATGTTATATAACTGTTATATATGATACTACTTCTGAAATAAAATTAACCATAAAAGTTCCAAAGATAATAATATATGAAAACTAAGTATAACATTTTACACTTCACCATTTGGCCTTGTAAGTAATTTCTTTCCACTTTAAAGAATTCAGACAATTTGAGGTTCGCAGCATAATTGATGATGTTATAAAAGTATCAAGTTACTGAACCAAGATAACAGGGGCAGGGGGCTTCTGAGAGAGTGATGCAGTGTTTCAGCACATTTTTTTATGAAATTTAAATTCATGGGGGCAAATTTTACAGTGAAAAGGAGATAATAGCACCCATTAATTCTGTAAATAAATTTTTGCAATTTAATTTGCTGAACCGCAATGGTGAGTGCTAATTAGAGCCTAGTAGTAAAGCCTTCCCAAGTTTGCATAATTGCAAACTATTCCATGAATGTTGTGTAACGTTAAGGGACATGATGATGACTCTACCTTTAATGTCCCTTTTTAGGAGTCCTTCCTGTAACCCACCTTTCAGCCTTAAATGATTAAGGACTAAGTAAATACAAGGTAGTGAATGAGGGTAGATGAAGCCTTTCGAGCAAACCTACTCTTTTTTTGCCTGCCTTCTCCCCAGCCACTCTGGCTCCTTGCTATACATGCTGGGCAAACTCCCACCTTGAGACATTTGCTCTAGCTTTCCCTTCTTTCTGGAATGTTGTTTCTCCAGAGGTCTGTTTGGTTAACTCCCTCACTGACTTCAGTCTTTGTTTAAAACCTCACTTTCTGAGTGGGGCCACACATACTCTGCTTGATCATTTGTTTTGCCCTTAGCACCTCCGTCCCAAAATTCATGATAGCCTTTACTCTGTCTGACTTTCCTTATTTTCACAATACTTATTATCCCCAAACATACCGTACATCTTTTCTAAATGTCTGTTTCCTCCTTTCCTCCCTACAATGTAAGGTCAGTGGAGACAAGGATCTTTGTTTTTATTCATTGACATTTCCTGAGCACCTAGAATTGTAACTGGCATATGTTAATTGCTCAAAAGTAACTTGTTGGATGAATACATTGTTCAATGAAATCTGATTGTCAGACCATAACCAGACTCTACCAACAATATTCCAGCTATATTTTTCTCTCCTTCTTCTACAGAATTTGAATTGCTTTTCTCAGATAGTGAAGAATGCTCTTTGAACATTGGTGTTAAAATGAACCGCCCCGCCCCCGATTTAAATTCCCTTTGTAAGGTGTTATGGGCCACTTTTCCTGGACTCATTCAAACTGAAGCTTGGACATTTCTTTAGTTAATTGTAGCCTTGTTTAGAAAAGATGAACTGGATGGGTAGGTGTGAAGTATGGTTTTCACAAAACAAATGCTTATTTTGTGTTAAACATACTACTGTACATGTTTTATAGCACTTTTTATATTTGCAATGATTTTAATGCCAAACTTTGAAATTCAGGAATTAAAACATGATCTTATAGCTCAAAACAAAAAAGAAAAAAAGAACTCCACCCCCCAGCAGTGGTAGGAATCCATGGGCTTCACTACTTGCCCCCATGGCATGAAAACTAGGCTAACTGAAAAATACAGTCATTTGGTGAGGCCAGTGTAATGGTATAAAAGCAAGGGTCCAAGAATTTCAGTGTAGCCACCAGCCCAGGTAGCACGCTCATTCACACGGCCCTGTCTGATTCTGAATGTAGATGATACCGAAAGCCAACATTTTCATCGTGAGAATGACTTAATTTTATCATTGGACTCAGGCATTACTTTGAAGCAAATAAAGTTAATTATCCTTCAGTTGCTTTACACACCTGGAATGGAATTTATTTGACGTCATTTATGCTTTGTCTTCCTAGGGTAAATGTGAGCAGTCGCTCTATGGTCACATGCATTCTATTAATGATGCCACCTTCAATCCCAGGGTGAGTTCAGTTCTCTCTGTAATTTTTTTTTAACTCTTCATGTACACAAATTCATTTTAATGAAACCAAATACCAGGGGGCAATGTAAGTTAACTGAGTAAGTAGTAAAACAAATCTGGAAATTAATTATGACGATGGAAAAAACACAGAGATAGTATAGGGTTGCAGAAGTTACACAAACTCACGCAGTATACAGTGGCAGAAACCATGAGCAATTCACCTATTGTACTTAACGCCACGGAAGCACATTTTGGAAAGCTTCTTGTCTAATTTGGGCTTCAGGAAGGTAAGTGTAACATAGGTTCATAAATGTGAATGCAGAATCATAGAAAATAACAAAAATGCTTGAAAGGAAACATAAAAATAAACACCGTTAAAGAAACAGGGGCTTTCTTCTGGTTAGAATGCAACAAGCTGGAATGGATAGCTTTTCAATTCCTCATGGTAAGGTTTTAAATATTTCTTTCTTCATCTAAACTGATGGCTCACCCAAAGTGTTTTTCTGCAGCCTGAGACATTGAGATATCAGGACTATTTCTCAAACGATGAAAATTGTTAAACATTGCTTTGTGTTGCTGAGCTAATTGGGGTTATCTTTAAAAGGGTTCAGATAGTAATCATGGAAGGATGATTTAAGTTTGTTCCTTTTCAGATGAAAGCAATTTGACAAGATAGATGACCTCTCAAGTCCTTTCAAACTCCATGATTTAATTATATCTAACGTTTTAATTTGTCTCTAAGTTCCCAGCAGAGTGTACATCCTAATTCCATATCCCTCTTCCAATTAGCTAAAGAAGAAATCTGATAGATTCCCTACATTTAATTTCAAAATGAGAGCATAGTCAAAATTCTGTTACTCTCATGCTGTTATTATTTTTTAAGAAAGGAAAAACATTCATTAAATTTTTTTTCTGCTAAAGGGAGCTTGTTTGTTCCACCTGAAATTATGCCGATGTCTCTGTCAACCCTGGAATGTTAAGGATGAGCTCACCTACAATTCTCTTCTAACAAAGACATCTTAGGAAGGAATTTCCATTTTCCTGACTCTACTGAGCCAATATATTATGGATTAGTTCTAGATACCAAGCAAGATTATAAAGCCACTTAGCCCTACAGACCCATACAATTTGGATATTTATACAAAAAATCTATTCAGTGGCTTACAACTTTATGTACCCTAGGAAAACTAAATGGAACCCAAAATGAAGTAAACTAGTATTTTTTTTTAAGTTAGGCATTTTAGTTTGGTAAGCAATATCACAGCTGAAAGACACACCATTTAACATCCTAAATAGTAAAATTTAATAAATATGGAAATAGCCAAATTAGATTTATTGACTCAGCAATCAAAGGAGACATACATTAATTATACATATTTCAAAGGCAAGATGATGAATATGAGGTCCAGGTGTCCAGCATCACAGTGGCTAAAGTGTTTTTGTTTGCACACTTTGTTCATATCAAAATGACTATTACAGCACAGTTCTAAATCAACATAGCAAGGCCTCACTGAATCTTCCCATCAATTTATCTCTTCCTTCCCATAAATATTTAATAACTATTAAGGAAATGATATTTTGTTATGTAACTGATACTCCTAAGTGAAATTTATGCTCACTATGTCAGTTGATTTGAAGACTTTTATTTCACATACCTGCTGAGCAATTGTCAAGAGATTGGGAAGCAGCAGTTACTGAAAGAACAAAAAGGCTTTCGGAGGGTTCTTGAAAACATGGCATTGTGACACATTTCACATTCAAACAAACCATCAGACACGGTTTTGATGATAAATGCATTATAAGGTTCATATATAGCAGGCAGCAATTTGAATTACTTAGTATAAGATTTGCTAATTGTTTGATGTCTTTGGTTTATGCATTTAGGTTACATTAGTTAAAAACGCATTTAGCTATATAAACACAATTTTAGGAAAATTCTATGATTTTAGATCTATAAACAAATCACAAATGTAAAATTCAGTGTTATCTAGCTAGCAACCAAGAATCACAGATACACATACACAATTTATAACATTTATGTGTGGTCCCAAAATGGTATGTAAATTTAATTTAATTTTTATGTTATATAGCTAGTGATGTTATATATGTTATCTATTTTACAGCTCTGATGTCATTTTTTTCTTACTGACGTTTCTAATAGGAGACAATTGTTTTAAACCTCTTTTTAAAGTAATCTGTTCATGAAACCTTTTTTTGTTTTTAAAAATTTTTTTATTTTTGTTCAATTACAGTTGTCCCCATTTTCCCCCATTACTCTCCCCTGCGCTACCCACCCCGCCACCTCCCACTCTCATCCTCCCCCTCCATTGGCTTTGGCCACGGGTCCTTTATGTATGTTCCTTGACTTGACCCTTCCCCTTCTTTCCTCCATCATGCCCCTCCTCCGCCCCTTTTTAAGGCAATATGAACGCTTTTTACTAAGTTAATTTTGTAAAACAAAATAAAAAATAAAGTTGACAATAATTGCTGGAAAAATGTTAACAGATACAGACAATTCAATGTAAGTTAAAGGAAAAAGTAACTACGTAAAAATGCATGGCACGAAAATGAGCAGGGTCGATCTCTCAGAGAGAGCCTCTCTAGCTTCAATCACCCAGGAAGCTGACCAGGGTGGAGATTCTATCAAACCTTCTAGTAGCTTTGCGGGTGTTCTCCTAAAGGGATGACATGGTGGAGTGGGTATTCTTATCTCTCTGGGGTCATTCACAACTGTTCTAAGAGTCATGATGGCTACGTTGTGCAGACCTGGTGAAATCAGATGCGAACTAGAAATCAACTCTCTTGGAGTGTCACTTTATCTTTTCTTGAGAATATTTACCATCATTGCACTCATTTAAGCTTGGAATTTAGTCTCAACTCATTAATTGTTGAACAAAATTAGAAGACTGCATAATATAATCCTAGAAGTTCTAGAGTTCGGACCAGCACATGAAAAAGGATACTTTAGAATTACCTCAAGTCCTGTTCTCACTTTGTCTAGTTGGCCTGTTATATTAATTCAAAAATTGTTATATTATTTTTTTTAATGTAGCGGTGTGTACCTTTATTGGAACTAGTTATATCAAATATGGATATTCTGATTCTAAAATGGATAACAAATCTATATTCTTTGGCCTGTGCCAGAACAGATTTAAAAAAAAACAACAACAAAAACAAAACTAGAGGAAACTGTTATTTAATGTAATTAAGTTTAAATTTATGATTCTGAAGTATAAATGGCCAGTCACAACTGATCAACATTTAAACTATTTCTCTTGTGTGTCTGCTTTTCTATTTACTTAAATTGGTTTTATACCTTCTCCTTAAATATTCTAACTTCCCTTTCATCCACAAAATCTCATCTACATCTTCAACTTTTTCTCTAATGAGAAAGCAGAAGCCATCGGTGAAGAAACCTCATATCTTTCTGCTGCATATCTAAGTGCCCAGGCATCTCCAGGCGTCTTCTGTGTGGCCCTCCAGGCATCTAGGATGGAGTGTATCAGCCCCCAAGGGACTTTAACATTTCAGGTTGCGCTGTACATCTCATTTTTCTTTCACAGTCTTCATCACATTTTCAGTTATTCCTTGTTCTTACCCTTCTACAGGATTATTTTCATCTGCATATAAACATGCTCCAAATTTTTCTGTATTTGAAAGTTTGACATTCCATCTCTCAATCACTTGCTATCTCATTTTTCTTCCTTTTATATAGTCTTGATTTCTTCTGTAAATATGGGCCTATTTAAAATCACTTTTAGTTTCCAATATGTGAAATATTTGTATACATGAGAAAATTGAGGGCTCTCTGTGAACTGCTGGTTTAATATTTGATTACATATTTGCCAGTAAAATTGTCTTACTATGTCAGTTTTGAAGATTTGATAGGATTTGTTTACTGCCTGGTACCTGATGGCTTTTAAAATGTCCTATGTGGGCTTAGAAAGAATGTATGTTCTCTCTTGGGACATCGAGTTGTATTATTAAAATAAAGATTGCTATAACTAATTATTGTGCAAATCATGTGAAACCTGATTTTTGTTTATTTACTCTTTCACATTGTGAGGAAGGGATGTCAAAATCTTCCAGCATTATTACGGATTTTCAATTTTCTATTTTAAAAAGACATTATTATCGATTTTCACATTTTCTGTTTTCAGGTGCCATTTATATATATATGTTGAAACTAAATTGTTGGATATATAAAAGTTTATGACTCGTATCTTCCTTGTAAATGCTTTCTTTTATATTTATGTAATTTTTCTTTTTGACACAATTAAAATATTGTCTTTATTTATTTTTATTATATTTACATACCTTTTATCATTTCTCAATTTTCTTCCTTTTTTATAGGTTCATTTGAATTACTTCTCTTATGAGCAGTATATCCTGTTTTACTTTGTGCTTTTAGTAACATCTATGTCTTTTAAAAGCTGAATTTTAACTCATTTGTATTTATTGTGATTATTAATATACCTAAACTTGCTTTTCAATCTTACCTTGTATTCTAATGATTATGAGATTTCCTTGATTTTTTTTTCTTGTCAATGTCCAGTTTTAATAGTTAACCCTCTGTTTTTAACAGGCATACATTTTATTTCTCTAAAATGTATATAGTCAAACAATACTGTTATTCTCCCCAGAACAGCACAAAGAAACTAAAACACTCAAACTGTTTTTTAGACTTTTCCATATCCATGTTATTTTTATATTTTGCATTTTGGTCCCACCTTGACATTAGTCATGTAAACAGTTAATATTTATTAGAACTACTAACGTGTTTTACTTTTTGCCTACAATTGACTTAGTTTCCCTTCTACTTTCAGAGTTTTATTTTATTTTTTACTGTTTTCACTATTTTTAGCAGGGAGGAGGGAGAATGAATGGGTAGTAAGTGTTGTTGGTCTTCATATATTTCATTTTCATTCTTTTATTCCATTTTCTTCTGGAACTATTTTTACCAGTGAAAGTCTACACTCCATCTAGTTGTTGATCTTAGTT